AATTGATGCTTTTGAACTGTGGTGTTGGAGAAGACTCTTGAGAGTCCCTTGGACTGCAAGGAGATCCAACCAGTCCATTCTAAAGGAGATCAGTCCTGAGTATTCATTGGAAGGACTGATGCTGAAGGGGAAACTCCAATACTTTGGCCACCTGATGCAAAGAGCTGACTCATTTGAAAACACCCTGATGCTGGGAAGGATTGAAGGCGGGAGGAGAAGGGGATGACAGATGATGAGATGGTTGGATGGCATCACCGACTCAGTGGACATGAGTTTGAGTAAGCTCCAGGAATTAGTGATGGACAGGGAGGCCTGGCATGCTACAGTCCATGGGGTTGCAAAGAGTCAGACACGATTGAGCGACTGAACTGAACTGAACTAAAAGGAACCACAGTACTATTTTGGTTTTCTTGTTCCTTCAACATACTGACTTAAGTTACTGCTTTTACATAACATTTTTTTACTCTTACTACTAATCCACGTGTTATAAAAATGTTTGTTCACAAAATTGGATTCCAATGAAAAACAGATTGTACCTTAAACCACAAGCATGGAGTTAGTTGGATTTTACTTATAATTATATACAGTATAGATAATATATCTGAGTGATGGACAGGGAGGCCTGGCATGCTACAGTCCGTGGGGTTGCAAAGAGTCGGACACGATTGAGCGACTGAACTGAACTGAACTAAAAGGAACCACGGTACTATTTTGGTTTTCTTGTTCTTTCAACATACTGACTTAAGTTACTGCTTTTACATAACATTTTTTTACTCTTACTACTAATCCACGTGTTATAAAAATGTTTGTTCACAAAACTGGATTCCAATGAAAAACAGATTGTACCTTAAACCACAAGCATGGAGTTAGTTGGATTTTACTTATAATTATATACAGTATAGATAATATATCTGCAGAAGCACATGTTCAATAAATACAAATATTAGCATACACTTAAATTTAAATGTTCTTTCTCTTTCATTACAGGTTCAAAATCCAGAGGCAGGTTGGAAGAGGGAGGTGGGGAATTCCCTCATTTTTTCCTGAATAAATGGCTCACATATTTGTTTTCTCTGAAACAGTAATTACACCCTATCTTTCCTTGATACAGCAGGTGGAGGACTAAATAAAGAAGGCTTGTAGCCTGTCATGCACTGAAATGAAGAGGACTAGTCTGCTATCCTTCTTCAGCCTTCATGAAGCTGTTTTTCCTTATTATCCTACCCTTGCTGTGAAGTGTGCAGCCTGTCAATTACCTACAAACTTTCACCTTTATAGGAGGAAGTAATAAATGGGTTAAAGTAGCAGCTGTAATCTGATCTTTATTTCACTAGAGGAGCTTTTCAAACTTTTTAAACCTCAGCCAATAAGAAGAAGTACATTTCCCTTTACAACTCAGGACACACAAATACTTATGTTTATATGTATGTTGTCTAAGAAACAAGAATTCCAACCGATCTTGACCCTTACTACACGTAGTGGACTCTGATAGTCTCTATTTTATTTTATTCTAGTCTCTGAATCGCACTTTTTTCAACTGCTGTTTCAGAACCATTAAATTTATCTCATTGATCCTTTATTAAGTCTTGACCTAGAGGGTTGAAAATCAGTCTCAAGAGATGAAAGCAGGTTAAGGTAGAGCTTGGGTCTTGAAATAGGCTTCAAATCTGACTTTGCTGTTGACAGTCATGTGGCCTTTGACAAGATACTTAGCTAATATGTTGTTTCTTCATCCATAGAATGGAGACAATATTCCTACTTCACAGAATGATTATGAGAATCACTGTGATGATGTGAAAATTCAAGTCCAGCTCTGAAATATGGTTCAGTTCAGTCGCTCAGTCGTGTCCGACTCTGCAACCCCATGAACCGCAGCACACTAGGCCTCCCTGTCCATCACCAACTCCCAGAGTCCACCCAAACCCATGTCCGTTGAGTCGGTGATGCCATCCAACCATCTCATCCTCTGTCATCCCCTTCTCCTCTTGCCCTCAATCTTTCCCAGCATCAGGGTCTTTTCAAATGAATCAGCTCTTCACATCAGGTGGCCAAAGTATTGGAGTTTCAGCTTCAACATCAGTCCTTCCAATGAACACCCAGGACTGATCTCCTTTAGGATGGACTGGTTGGATCTCCTTGCTGTCCAAGGGACTCTCAAGAGTCTGCATATATCTTCTGATATATAGTAGGATGAAGTTAATTAGTAGTTCCTGAACCATCCCTTAAATCTCAAAAAACCTAACAGGGGACAACCTCTGTAGAAATGCTGCTTTTCAAGCCCTTTTAAACCTTCTTTCTCCTTCCTTCTCAGTCTTTCCCACAAACCCACAGAATAAAGCAGGTGTTTAAATTCTCTAGTCTGTTAGGGGCCACTTGAGCCAGGACCACAGTCACATCAGCAAACACTGGAAACACCCAGAAGGAGGCTAATGCTGGTGACATGCGTTGCCACAGGATGGACTTCAACAATATTGCACAAGATGCTTTGGGGAAGATGGTATGAGGTATTACTACTTAAAGAGGAACCAGAGCTTCTGCCCAGCTGTCAACTTTGGTCAATTGTGGACCTTGGTCAGCAAGCAGACATGGCTAAAAGCTGTGAAGAACAAGACTAGCTGCTTGTATCATTGATGTGGTGCCATCGAGCTCAAAGTTGTGGGGAAGAGGAAGCTCCCAGAGCAGCCTGTCATCCTGAAGGCCAAATCTTCCAGCAGAAGAGCTGAGGAGATTAGCAGTGTGGTCAGGGTCTGTGTTCTGGGAGCTTGCAGCCACATGGTGGGAGATTCATTAAATGTTGACAAGTGCTTTTCAAAATCAGCCAATCAATCCTTAGTCTAAAGAGTGAGAGATTACTAAAGTAAGGAACATTTAATATCTCACACTTTCCTATCAATTCCTGTGCAGGCCTAGGTAATCAACAGTTCTTTGGAGTATCAGGATAAAACCAATAGGAACTTCAAAATTCTTGGAATGATCCTTGTTCATCATGATCTAACTCTGTTCTTCACCTCCAGCATTAGATGAAACAATTTCCCTCATCTTCCGAAGAATACGTAATTGATTCCCATTATTTCCGGCCTTGTCGTGCTCTGGGACATCTTTGTATTAATCAGTGCTTCCTTTGTGCTGGCCTCAGCATCTTGCTCCAGCTTTCTGTTCTGCCACTTAACTGCCTGTGTAATCTTGGGCGAGTAACCAATTCAGTATTTCTGAACACGCTTTCCTCATCTATAGTATAATAATAATAATATCCACCACATGAATGTTCTCGAAAAGAGATAATGACATCAGGGTTGTAAATTGCCTGGCACATAATGAGCACTCAATGAGTGATGATTGCTAATATTTTTATTATGTTTATCAGTCAGTGCTGAGTTAAAGTAACATCTGTTCTAGCAAATCTTTGCTGACCCTCCTATTTTACATCGCAGGCCTTACTTACGGATTCTCCTCACACTCTGGGGACACATCTCACTGCATCATGTTCTAAGCTTCTGTTTTCTTGCAGCTTCCTCCACAGGACTGGAAAACCTCTTGAGGACAAGCAAATATCCTTTACTTCCAAATCTAGAGCATCTAGCAGAGTGCCCAGAACATTATAAGGTTTTCAGTAATTTTGTTTAACCTGTTTAATTAATGACTAGAATACAAAAGAACATAATTACCACCTCTACCATACCTTTTAGAACTGGAGTACTTTTAGAAAAGAAAGGGTAGTGATTGGAATAAATACTACTCAAAATAAAAATGATATTCTGTAATTTCAAAGGCAAAGTAATGCTAAAGAATTATTTCTTCATTTTTAGCTCTCTCAAGTTGCTTTAAAAACCTGAACAGTGAGGGTTCCTTTTTCTAGTAACCCCAGTAGTTATTCTCATACATTAAACAACATCTTATTGTGTAATGGCCAGGCACAATGCTCTACGTGTTGGAGATACAACAATGAAAAAAAGTCTGTTCCCTAGGGGAATTTACACTGCGATGGGAAGAAAGAGCTAAATAACTGAAATGAATATATTATATAAGCTATAACATATGTGCTGTGCTTAGTTGCTCTGTCGTGTCTAACTCTTTGAGACCTCAGGGACTGTAGCCCACCTGGCTCCTCTGTCCATGGGGATTCTCCAGGCAAGAATACTGGAGTGGGTTGCCATGCCCTCCTTCAGGGGATCTTCCCAACCCAGGGATCGAACCCAGGTCTCCCACATTGCAGGCAGACTCACTACCATCTGAACCACCAGGGAATAGTAATAGATGCTATAGGAAAAAATAAAGCACAATAAGGAAATGGAAAGGATTTCCTGTTTTAGGAAATCTGGTTCTGTTATGAGACAATAATTGAGGAAAAACTGAATGAAGCAAAGAAATAAAAAATGTGTATCCATCTCTTAAACACTTCTACACTTAATTCTAAAATTATCCAGGAATGAAGTCAATAACAAACTAGGAAAGCAACTTTGTCATCCCAGGCAATTGAAAGGGAGATGACTTCAGATGCATACAGTAGAATGACAAGCAGAGATTTCAGCTCAAGCACTAATTGGGTTTCAGCCATGACCTTGCAGGAACACACTGAAATCTATTTATAATAGCTATGGCAGTGACTCTGTGACTTAAAAGAAGTGGCTCATGTGACCTACAGCCCTTTTATGCCATCAGCTTCTTTTATCTCTTCAAAAAAACCTGAACCCTGACCCACATTGCCTAGATTACTTGACCTAGTATTTCATTTACTTGACCACTAAAGTTAGTAAAAGTCCACACCATCTAACTTTAAATAACTTAAAGTTGACCAGTTCCTGCATCTTTGTCAATACTGCCTATATCTTATACCTTTATATACTTATAGATAAGCATATCCTATATCCTTATATACTGCCTATAGCCTAAGGCTGCATGACTCCAATAGTAGTAAAATGATATCCTAGCCTGATGTTTTTCACTCCTTTGACCATTTGGTCACAATGTCTAAAGTTTTTCTATTGACCTAAATTTGTTTTTGAAAACAAATCTCAAGCTCATATTAACACAGTCATTTCAAATGATCTAAATTAACTCTTCCACTTTTTAAAATGTCTATACATAATATATGAAAGTGAACTATTAGCTGCTCAGTCACGTCCTACTCTTTGCGAGCCCATGGACTGTAGTCTGCTAGGCTCCTCTGTCCATGGAATTCTCCAGGGAAGACTAGTGGAGTGAGTGGCCATTCCCCTCTCCAGCGGATCTTCCCAACTCAGGAATTAAACTCAAGTGTCCTACATTGCAGGCAGATTCTTTACCATCTGAGCCACCAGGGAACTCCATACTTTACACATATACATATAAAAGTATACACATATACAAACATATATGCTGCAAAACCAGTATAATTTTTCTAAGGGAAATAAAGTAAAATTTTTCTAGCCATATCCAAGTTATTAGGCATACTTGCAATTTGTTTGTAGGAACTTGAATAAATGAAAAGGACTCTCTAACTTCTTTCTGACAATACTTGAAGTAAACCAATGTTACCCAGATAGTTAAGTAGTATTTCAAACTGATTAGTAAATAAATAAGTTGGTGGAGAAACTACCTCAATTTNTTTTCCAATGAGTCAACTCCTCGCATGAGGTGGCCAAAGTACTGGAGTTTCAGCTTCAGCATCAGTCCTTCCAATGAATACCCAGGACTGATCTCCTTTAGGATGGACTGGTTGACACAAATAGCATAAATATTCTGGAGGACGCTAATACAGCCAAAGATTCAATTTGCCTCTACAAATATTCATATATAACATTCATCATTAAATTACAAAGGATACCAAAAGACAAGACCTAATGATCAAACACAAACAAGCAAAAAAAAAAAAAAGCATGCAAATAAAACAGCAGAAATAGACTCACAGGTGATTTAGAAGTAACAGACCCTAACTCTTAAGATGTATGATTTTATCCTCAATATTTAGACGACACAATGAAGATTTTCAGCAGGAAAGTAAAAATTCTGTTTTCAAAAAGAAAAACACATGTTTATTTTAAAATTGAGAAATACAACTGAAAATAAGAACGAAATAAGTGAAAGTAGCTGGACCCAGGAGAGAAAATCACAACCACTAATTTGAACAGAAGAGCTTAACATAGAGAATAGTTAACTAGACATAAATTTATTAAGTAGCTGAAAGAGTAGGATCAGATCTCTAAAATATCATAAAGTAGCAACTTCAATTAGTTATTACCACACCTACAGCAGGAATAGGGACACAAAGGGAAGTCATTGACATTCCTGAAACTTACAAACCTTGAGGAAGAGTCCTGTGAAGCTGAAACGTGGGCCTCTGAGGAGGCACTGGCCATCTGGTATTGATGTTCTTGAGACTGCGACTTAATCTCTGAGATTCTGTAGTCTCAGAACAGGAGATGAGCAAACTGGATTCAGCTGTTGCTACAGGAAGGCATTTCAAGAAGTATGGCTGGAGGTAATGCTCAAATGATCTGCTAGGAGAAAGAAATCTCATAGGAAACTCACAGAACATTAAGAGTAAGAAACAAGTTCCTTCCTCCTCCAATCTTGCACGCTCCCTCTAGCGTTTCCTCTTGTTAGATGCTAGTGCAGAACCAGCTGACAAAGCAGAAATGTGGTCTGTAGAGTCCTGGTTCAGCATCAAGCAGCAGAGTGCAGAAGAATGGGCTTGGAGCCAACAGGAAATGATATAATTACTGACACAGTAGGTTTAACAGAAGATAAGCTCAGTGAAGAGAGCACTTGATATTTGGAAGATGGTACAGAAAAAAAAATCTAGACTAAAGCTGTAGAGAAAAAAGAGAGATAATACAGAAATGGAATAAATTAAGAGTTCTAATATGCATGCAATTGAGTCCTAGAAAGGGAAGAGAGAGAATGGAAGCAAAGCAATATTTGAGGCATAATGACTGATGATTTCCACCCCCCCCCCCAAAAAAAAAGATGGCAAGGCACAGATTAAAGAAACCTGATAAACACTGAGAAAAGTGTTTGTAGGAATGGTACACATGCGTGTGAGTGCTCAGTCATGTCTGACTCTCTGAAACCCCATGGATTGTAGCCTGCCAGGCTCCTCTGTCCATAAGATTTTCCAGCAAGAATACTGGAGTGGATTGCCATGCCCTCCTCCAGGGGATCTCCCAGACCTAGGAATCGAACCCATATCTCCTGCATCTCCTTTGTAGGCAGGTGGATTCTTTACCACTGAGCCACCTGGGAAACCCTGGGGATAGTAGACTGAAACTGAAAATCAAAGACAAGAAAAAATATTTTTTAGCATTCTTATAGAGGGAAAAATAATCAGATTTTTTTCTGTTCTTTTTCTTCCTATTACTAATAAATAATTCTCATTTTATTGATTGTCATCACCAGTCACTTACTTACCTGTCACTAAAATGTGCTTTATATTTCCTTTTCACTTATTTCTATACCCAACTTATCATAAGTCCATTTCTTGATTGTTCCACTGTATATTGGAAATATATTCTTTCAATGTGCATCACTATTCCTCCACTCTCGGCTGCCATTATCTCTAAGTCTTAGTATAGGTAAAACTTGGAGATGTTGCAGATTCAGTATCAGAACACTACAATAAAGTGAATAGCACAATAAGGAAAATCGCATGAGTTTTTTTGTTTCCGAGTACACATTAAAATTATGTTTATACTGTATTAAACTTTGTGTGTGTTAGTTGCTCCATTGTGTCTGACTCTTTGTGACCCCATGGACTGTAACCTGCAAGGCTCCCCTGTTCATGGGATTCTCCAGGCAAGAATACTGGAGTGGGCAGCCTATGCCTTCTCTAGGAGATCTTCCCAACCCAGGAATTGAACTGGGTTCTCCTAATAATCAGCTATACCCCAATACAAAATAAACTCTTCTTTGGGTTCTCCTAATAATCAGCTATACCCCAATACAAAATAAACTCTTCTTTAAAAAAAAAAAATGAGTGCATCTGTGGTAGTGTGTCATTTAAGGCCTTGTTTCCTTTTTGATTTTCTGTCTGGATGATCTGTCCATTGATGAGAGTGGAGTATTAAAGTCCCCCCAAAAGGAGATCAGTCCTGGGTGTTCATTGGAAGGACTGATACTGAAGTTGAAGCTCCAATACTTTGGCCACCTCATGCGAAGAGTTGACTCATTGAAAAGACCCTGATGCTGGAAGGGATTGGGGCCAGGAGGAGAAGGGGACGACAGAGGATGAGATGGCTGGATGGCATCACTGACTCGAAGGGCATGAGTTTGAGTAAACTCCGGGAGTTGGTGATGGACAGGGAGGCCTGGCGTGCTGCGATTCATGGG